GTACTGTGCGCGGCGACTTCAAAGACCTGTCGCAGAGAACGCACAGTGTCCTTCGTAGGAAAAAAATTTCGGCTAGCTGTCCGAAATATTTTAGCTGGGTGTGATGGTGGTGGTGCTATTGACATAATTAACAGTGGTGACGGAAAAGTTATTATAAATCGGAGGGAAAATATTAGGAACACACACAGCGTCAGGTGTTGTCGTAGTAGTATGAGTAGCAATATTATTAGTATTACGAGTGCTTGTAGTCTTCATGGTAATATCAGTATTAGTAGTCTTTTTAGTGGTACTAGAAGTACCGATGGTTGCGTTAGTAGTAAAACTAACAACAGTAATCGTTGTTATAGTAATAACAGCACTAGCATTAGTAGTAGCAGTATTGCTGGTAGTAATAACGTTAATAGTTATGGTAGTAATGGCATTACTAGTATTAGTAGTAGCTGTACTGATATTAGCAGGAGTAGGAGCAATAAAAGCACTAGTAGAAGCAGTGATGGTAATTGTGGTATTCGGAGTAATAGTAGTATAATTAGTGACAATATTGATCGTAGTAGTAGTGATATTGGTAATGGTGGCACAAGAGGTTGCTTTAGTAGTCTTGGTAGTAATAATAGAAATAGTACTAGTAGAAACATTATTGATAATAGCAGCAGTAATAGAAGAAATACTAGTAATAGTAGCACTAGAGAAAAAGTTCAGCTAGCTATCCGAAATATTTTATCTTTTTTTGATGGTATTGGTATTGGTATAGTTATTAGTGGCCGAAAGAGCACTAACAGTGAAGTAATAAACATAACCCCGGAGGTTGACGTATTCATATTAGTAGTAGTAGTGATAGCAGCGTTAAGAGGAAAATGAGCAGCAGTAGTTGTCGTTATAGTGATACCAACACTAGTAATAGTAGTAGCAACGGCAATAAGAGTAGTAGTTGTCATGGTAGTAATCGTAGTACTAGTAGAAGATGTAGTAGCAGGTGTGGTAGTAATAATAGCACTAGTATTAGTAGAAGCAGCATGGATAGTAGTGGCCGTAGTAGTAGAGGTAGGCGTTCAAAAGCCGGCATCTTGAAATGAATTGAGATTATGCTGCACCATAATCAGTTTAACAACCTTACTTAATGCCGGTTTGCGAGTCGTTATCAATGTTTCGCAAATTTCAGCATTGTGCATGAAATACCGGCCGTATTCTACCCTTGCTGCAGACCAATTAACAGACAACGGCGCCTCTGGGTCAACAGTGGTCCTCATTGCGAACAGCCTAAATCAAACTGGCACCTTTTTGCTTTTGTAGGCAACTTCGCGGAGCTCTGCTTTGGTTCCTTCATGGGTCGCCCTATGTCATCATCTACGTGTGCTGACCTCATGTCCACTGCCGCCGCCTCCTCCACCGCCACTCAAAACGGCGTCTTCGGTGCCAGTGCAGCTAACAGCGTCCAGCATCCCCATCACAATCAGCACGCCATGCCTAGCAGTGCAGACTTAAAGGCAAAAAAGGCTCGACACCGGTAAAGTCATTAACCTTTTCTTTGCAAAGTAGATTCCTTATCTCACGAAACTTCAACCGAATTTCTGAAATGTCTTTTCGATCCGAGCGTTGTAATACTGATTACCATACAGCATAACCTCAAGATATTTTAGTACCGCCAGATTGCCGGCTTTTAAACAAGCATCTTTCCGAGCGCCTGCATAAATTAAACACTTGCTTCTTAAGTAGTATGCATTTTTCTCATTGATTTTCATTGCTCTTATAAAATGTTAACATATTTTATAGAAAAATGCACAAAAAATCATTCTCGTACTCGTTTGGTAACAAATTAGGGCTCCCTAAACTTTATACTCGAGAAATAGTATCTATCGTTCTCAAACAGTTTATAAATTGTTTAATAATGTTTATCCTACCGGCCGTTAAACTTGAATTCAAGCTCTCCAAACTATATGCTGTATACATTCAGCCTTAGGAAGAGTAAGTAGTTTCTTGCGGTATTAGGAAGAAGTCGCATAGTTCTCATTACATTTTTGCTATGAATGTGGACCAAGCTGTATAACCAATTGGAAGCATTAATAAATGGATAGATACTGCACATTTCATGGCGGTAGAAAATTTCATAATTAGAAAATTTCTTCAAACCGAAAGACACGCCGTTTTCTAGTTCAAAATTTTAAGGAGACGCAATTTTCTACCAAACGAGGGCAACAGTAGCTTATGTAGCCCCACTCATTAATCCCTACAACCTGCA